TTCGCGCGGAGACCTCACCAGACGCTAGTGAAGGAATCGCGAAACGAATTCCTCTGCAGAGCGCCAGTGAAGCGCCAGTCATGCGTTCGTGAGACAGAAAACAGTCAAACGTTAGTGAAACGTTGACGGAATTAAACGCTGCGCATATCGTTGGAATCGTGAGAACGAGGAGAACGCAATCGGCAATAGCAAGCAGACTTTTGTCGACTACAGCATCTATGATCCTGACATTTCCCAGCTCGTGTATCTCATGCGACAACGGTGATGCGAATCCCGGCGCCTCAAGGCTGCAGTTCCCTCCGCCCTGCAGCCTCCCGCGCCAAGTACCGCCTTAGCGTCGGCAGTGCTGGCTGCATTGGCTGCATCGCGACACTCCTCATCCTCTGGCGCGCCCAGGCCTACCGCAACAGCAGGCTTAAGCTTAGGGAACATTCACACAACTTTCCAGACAAGGATCGAGATTAATCGTCTTCCTCTCCGTGGTCACGCACCTGAATGGTGTGAAAGTGTGTCTTGTCAGTCCATACGCCGCGTCTCCAACAAGACAAAACGCCCCAATACCGCCGCGATCTATCTTCCTCTTGATTGGGGAGTTGGCCCAGACGCGTGCGTCGTTCACGCTTCCGGGCCATCCAGCATTGAAATTTCATATGTACCCTACAACATCCACAACCAGCTGAAGAATTATGGAGTAGTAACCATGACGATTCTGAAAATCTTCTTTGTGCAAGCCGTATCTGCGCGTTCGTATGTATGTGCCATCAACGGCACCTATTACCCCTGGGATTCCGCCATACGCCCTAAACTCCCGCTCCATGGCAATGCGTTCTTCCTCATTTGGCCATCTAACCCAATGGGGCGTCAGACGGTCACTCACGAATGTCACGAAGTAATAGAAGACACGTCGGGCGTGGCCGTGACTCATCCCAAAGACAATTCCCATTACGCGGAAACTCCAGCCATGAGCCATCCGGGAAAGAGCTGCAACTACGCGTAACGGGATGGACACAATCGTGGCAGCGGCACTGCTGACGTAAGGGGTGTAAAGGCGCACCAGATAAAAAAAGACGTGCCTGGCGATCCTGAAGTGCTGTACGAACATGCGGTTCGGGAGGGTATGGATTAAGCGTAACCGTCTACGCCTGACTTCTTCCTGCTCTGGGGTCTGCGAATTCTGTATCTGGACATCATGCAGGAGCCTGACTGCGGTTGGTAGTGCGGTGGTTATGCTCGAGAATATGGGCAGTAATATGGCGGTTAGGAATGCATGGAAGTGAGTAGTGCTATGGTGTACATAGTCTCTATGATCCATTGCAGTAGAATACGCGAAATCCTGTACGCCTATGTTTGCATAGCGATTTGTGTTGATGGAGTGGGTTGTTCTTCGAAGTATGTTGCTGGAGTGGGCTGTTCTATGTCGAAGTGTGTTGACGGTGTGGTATACGTGTTGCTGGTGTGTGAATTTGCGTTCCTGTGTTTCTAGAGTGTGCCCAGAATACGATTTGTGTTGTTGGTGTGTTCTCGAATACGAAGTGTAGTGCATACAGAGCCGTTCGAAGATTCTGGAGCGGACCTTGTGCGCTGCGGGCGATGTTGGCGACATTACCACGATACTGTGATTCGCCCGTCTCGCCAAAGTTGGGACGCAACTACCAGGTAATGGGCCTACAGTTTTCATGCAAGAGTGCGAAACATTCGAGGAAAATCATCTCTCATCGGGCGGCGCGAGAAAAATGATCACAGGCAATCCGATCCGACCCAACCCGATCCGATCAGAGCCGATCAAAGTCGATTGGGCCCACGTCCTAAGTCCTTGTGTAAAACTCCGAAAATGTCGATCGAATACAACCCCGCAAAAAAATCCGCAGTTGCAGGTGCAGTTCGCCTCCGAAAATCTCGGACGTGCTATAGCCGCCCACTCGGTCACCAGTTGTTTCCGTCGGTTCACCAAAACCCATCTGGGGGCATATTCTGGAACCGGGGACTAGCCCTGGGTTATTTCGAGACCGACCTTCACAGATCCTAGAGGCATCAACGCCGTTGACTTCCGTTGTCGAAACTGCTCCCGCCGTTGTCGCTTAAAAAAATCATGTTTCTCCCACCGAGAAGTTTTCGAAGCTACGACTGCTCCCACGCTCCCTTTTTCTGAAGAATTTCCCGAGGTGTGCGTTTAAACACCCGGGGTCCTAGGTATCCCTGCCGAGGTGTTTCTTGCCAGGCAACTTCGAAAAGTGCCCTTCAGGCGAAGTCCCCCAACGACTCAACCGCACTCCAAGAAGCGAAGAAATACCCGCAACTTCATTATTTTTTGTCGTTTCACCCCCCGACAATTCCGCTTCCCGCCGTTCACCCAGCGTCCGCTTTTGTCGGATGGGGTATTGTCGGTGTTGCCCGCGCGAACCCGGCTACGGTGGAGGGGCAAAAACTATCGGAGTCGGGGACCCTTGTTTAAAAGGAACTAACGCCCAACCGTTTTGCAGCCCACTGCAACCGTCCTGCCACTAAACTCCACAACTTCCCGGTCCCTGCTTCTCCATTGTGCCATCACCTCGTGTAGACGCCCGGGTCAGAGGAAACCTGTAAACTGCACCAGTGTTGTCCTGCGGCGCCCCGATTTTTTCGCGTGCTGTTTCACCCAGCCCGCTTTTGTCGGAGTAAAACAGTGCCGCAACTCCCTTTGTTGTTGTTGTTGTTGTTGTTGTTGTTGTTGTTGTTGTTGTTGTTGTTGTTGTTGTTGTTGTTGTTGTTGTTTTTTTTTTTTTTTTTTTTTTTTTTTTTTTGTACAGCTGTCGAATGGGCACCAATCCAGGTGCTTTTAACCAACGCAGGGTAGGCACGTGTTCACCCCCGTTATTCGGCCAAGCAAATTGATTGCATGAGTCTGAACTAGAACTTGATGGGGATGGTGAGGTTCGTGCGACGGAAGGTCACTTATCATTCACAACGGCTTTTAACCTGCCCTTCGCGCCGTTCTTCAACCCTCACTTAGCCGTCAGGCAGTTTCTTCCCATATGTCCTGGCGGCCTGTACCAACTCCTCCGTAATTGTTGGGGCAGTACGTTGAACGCCGTTTAATCGTGGGTCGCATGCAGCTGTCCCCGAAAACGTCTTCCCTGGTAGGAGAAACTGCTCTCGAAACTTCCGGCCAGCTTGCAACAACTCCAGGTACGCAGCATCACACGAGTCGTTTCCGAGGTTACCGGCCCCGGTTTCCCTCGTCGCCTGCGCCCCACTTCTGCTAAGTGCGATATGGCCACTCCGCTTTTCGTTGCAGCCCGTAAGTGTCGGCGGGTCTGAAAATCCCGTCTGTCCACGTGCACTCCTGCCGAAATCTTTGATGACGCGCCCGCCATGCAGTAAAAGCCGCTGCACTTAACAGGTCGGGCGGGACGGCAGTTAACCCCTGCTAAGTCGGGCAGTCTAGTGTCGTCTCTCCTCGCCACCGACATTTTCGGACGCAAAACTCCATTTGCGCCTGGCGAGTTCCCCAGCCAACTTTTTCTCCACAGTTGCTCCGAAATTGTCGCCCATAGTGACGCACGTCCTTTTTCGCCAACTGTCGAAACAGACTCCGCGAGTCATGCGCGCAAAATGACGATGAGCCACCGTTGTAACTTGTCACATCAGACGAACTCTGAAATTTTCGCGCAGCTGCTGACCCAGGTCCGACGGCATCAACTGCCACACACGCTGACGACTTCCGCAAAATTCGTGCAAGTGCCGACACAGGTCCGCTAACGCCAGCTGCCGCACAAAATTCCGAAATCGTCGGTAAGAACGCAGCGGAGTAGTAACTCACGTTTGACGTCGCGACAGCTCCAGCTGTCCGTTGCCCGGGGGGAGGGAGGTCACGGTCGATCGCGACCGTTCGAGGCAAGGATATGGCGGTGCCAAATGAGTGCCCGTAAATCCATGGCCGCGAAGAGCAACTAACCCGTTCTCTTGGCCGGCCTACGCAACTCCTGGACCCCAAGACATCCTTCCTCGTCCCCCCCCCGAGGGGTAATAGACTTTAAAAAGCGGGGTAGGCTAGGAAAGTAGCTCTGATACCAGGTGTTATGAATGAACTTGCAGAGTGCGCAGTAAAACGAAAAACGAGAATGAACTCAGAAAAAACTGACGATACAATGAAAGTGACGAGGCCTAAATAGGGGAAATGCTAGCTAGGCGGGGAGGTCAGGAATGGATGGCTCGGTGATGTTGCGATTGGGGCGGAGGCCGACTCGGGAGTGGTTCGGCCGACAAAATAGGCCGAACAGGTTCGTCGCGTAACCCTCGGGATGTTATCGCTAATAACTGGCTACAGTAAGGAATTCTAATTCCTTACCAGCAGGTTCGATTTTGGGTCCTCTGATTGGTTGCCAAACTGATTCGTGCAATGAACCCAGTCAAGCTGCTAAGTCTCCCGCAAAAAAGGGGACTGTGGATGAGGGGCTACACCTAGGAATCATAGGAAAAAGCTCCTCATTTTGCAAATGGGCTCTTGCTAGCGCGGGCTCTTATTTCGGAAACATTTGTATTTCTATCTCGTTATTAGACATTCTTCAGTACATTCTATAGTTCCGAGCTTCAGTGCATGTCAGCTCGTTTGTGAAACCCGCGCACCCATGAAGTATGAAAGTTGGCGCTGGGCAACGTGGCTTCAACCCCTCGACAAGGCTCCAGATTTTATGTTGCCGTAATCTCCGCCGCAACAGCCGCCGCAACAACGACATGCGAGGGACTACATAGACGCCCCTGGCGAAGGGGAAAACGACCCACGACAAATTATGCTCGCGAATGATATGTGTATGGATCTGCTGCCCATGATTACGGCCCGGCCGCGAGGAGGAGCACGTTTAGTCCGTCGCATTACTGCGTTGCTGTTCGTGTCGCAGATTCTGTTGTCATGTCTCGCGAATGTGCTCGCGAGAGTAGACGAATTCGCTCACGAGCGAATCACAGCAAACAGCGCTCGATATTGGAACGGTGTCCGGCGGTTGACAACGTACGCGGACCTGATGGGCGAGCGGAGTTCCCCAGACCCCGATACTGCGACATCTGCCAGTGAACCAACCGACACCACGGTCACTCCCGCTACAGTCACATCCGATACAGGTGCTCCCACGACCGGATCGATCAGTCGCAGCATTAACTCCGGTGCGGGTGTAGCTGTCCCCGCTACAGTCACATCAACAGCCAGTGTAGACGATGCTACTACGAGTTCTGGCGCTAGCAGCGGCGCCGCTGTCTCCGCAACGGATTCCCCGAATTCCTCGACGCGCACCACCGCTTCTCCCTCTTCGTCCGCTTCTCCTCCGCCTTCTCCTCCTCCCTCGCGCGACGCGCGTCTGCCTGCCGCCACGGACCCCGCGTCGCCGGCAGATACCAACGCGGGAAGCAACTTCCCCGACTCGAACCCCCTCCCCCGACCACCACACCTCTCTCCCCACAACCGCCCCAGGCTTCACCCCTCACACCCCCTAGTCTCCGCCCCCCCTTCCGCGCATGCGCCTGCTGGTTCCCCCCACGGGGGTCCTCCAGGGGCTGTCTCGGAGGAAGCTCCCTCTGTCCCTGGCGGCGATGGGGGAGAGACGCCAGCGCCCCCGAAAGGTGGAAACGGGGATGGGGGCCTCTCGCCAGATGCTCCGTCCAATGCCACTTCAGGTGCCACGTCAGGTGCCACGTCCAATGCCACTTCAGATGCCACGTCAGATGCCACGTCAGATACCACGTCAGACGCCTCATCAAATGCCTCCCCACAGAACCCTCCACACGCCCCTGCCTCTGATGCCGCCTTCCCCAGCCCCAGTTCGCCCCTGCAGCCCTCCGCCTCTGATGGTTCCCCCCCAACACAACAGCTTGGGGGCCCGGCGGGGCACAGGGTGCATGCGGGGGACACAGGGCAGGCGGGGCACACAGGGCAGGCGGGGGAGAGAGGGGGAGGGCGGGAGGAGGTGCGGTGGTGCTGCGTGGGGCGGGGGGAGTGCGCCTTCTGTGGGGAGGTGGTGCCGGCACTGTCCTCTGACACCCAGCTGTGGTCCTGGTGGGTCAGCTGTGGTCCTGGTGGGTCAGCTGTGGTCCTGGTAGGTCAGCTGTGGTCCTGATGGGTCGGCTGTGGTCCTGGTGGGTCAATCCGCGAAGTGCATGCAGTTGGGAATTGGAGGAGAGGAAGCAAGCAAGTAGGCGAGTCCATCGGTTTGCTCATTGGCAGCCGTGTGTTCCTCCCCCTCTTCCCCCATGCCGCCCCCTCCCCTCCCATCCCCCAACCTGCCTCGCACCTCGCATGGAACAGCCATGGTACTCACCACCACCACGATCAGCGAATCCCAGCCATCCCCTCTCACCATGCATGCAGCGCAGCGCCGCAGCAAGCAGGAGGAGTGCATGGTGCGCCGCACTCCGCAAGCCAGGCGGGTTCACAACTTACCAGTGCTTCATGGCTCATGACCGTGCATTGCCCCCATGCCCATGTAGGGGAGCAATCATGCGCATGTAGGGGTGCAATCATGCGCATGTAGGGGTGCACTCATGCCCATGTAGGGGTGCAATCATGCCCATGTAGGGGTGCACTCATGCCCGCGTGCCGTCATCCCTCCCCTCCAAAGTGTACAGCAGCGCAGCAAGCAGGAGTGCATGGGCGCTGTACTGGCGGGAAAGCGGGGGTAAGCATGCACTGCCCTCATGCCCGCCCTGCCCCGCCCCGCCCCGGTCTGCCCCCCCCCACCCCATGCCAGTGTGCAGCGGCGCAACAAGCTGGAGGGCATGGGCGCCATAGCGGCCAGCCACTCAGGGGTAAGCAGTGGGGCAGTGGCGGAGTGATGATTAGCACGCATGGCCCTCATGCCCCCCCTGCCCCGCGCCATCCCATCCGAGCATGCAGCGGTGCAGCAAGCAGGAGTGTAGGGGCGCCACAGTGGCGAGGCAAGTGGGGAAGAGCAACTCGTCCAGCGGCGGATCAATGATATTCGTGCATTGCCTTCGTCCCCTCATCCTTCTCCACCCCACCCCAGTGTGCAGCGGCGCAGCAAGCAGGAGTGCATGGGCGCCATAGCGGCCTCGCAAGCGGAGCTGGTCTCGTTAGACGCGGGCTGGCGTTCCGCGCCTTCCTGCACGGCCGCATGAAGGCCCTCATGAGCGAGCGCCTCGCGTGGGGTGAGGCCTACCCCGCTGTTGCTGTCGTGCGCCGGGATGTGTGTGATGCCAGCGATGCTGGCATGGGTAAGGCGGGGAGTGAGGGGCTGAGGGGGAGTGAGGGTGTTGGGTTGGGGGGAGTGGGAGGAGATAGGGATGGGAGAGAGGGTGCGGTGGGTGAGGCCCGTGAGGGAGGCAGCTCGGGGTTCAACAGCAGCAGTGGCAGTAGCAGTGGCGGTACTACTGGTAGCTCGTCGCTTGGAAACAAAACTGACACAGAGATGGTCCAGGGCACACCACACAGCACCACCACCAACCCCACGTCATCTCCCCTCTCCCCCACCACGGCGCCCCTGCCATCCAGCATCCCGGCCGGCCCCTGGCAGCAGCTGCACCGCTTCAAGACGTGCCACCCGCTCTACGCCTCCGCTGCTGGCTGGGACCTCCCCGTGCGCTCCCTGCTCGCCCTTGACCTTGAGTCCCACCTGGGGGCCGCTGGGGGCGTGCAGGGCGCGCAGGGCGCGGGGGGTGGTGGGGGTGGAGGGGGTAGGGGTAGCAGCGGGGGCAGCAGCGGGGGCAGCAGGGGGGGCAGCAGCGGGGGAATTGGGGGTTTTGGAGGCAAGGGGGAGGTGGGAGGGGTGGGTGGGGGGAGAGGAGGGGGAGGAGTGGGTGGGGGCACGGGTGTGATGGGCAGGGGAGGGGGCGGAGGAGTGGGGCTAGGCGGCGAGTTTGCAGCACCGCCATTTGTGGAGGGCGAACCAGCGGATGTGACTCTAGTGAAGGCCGTCTTCCCTGAGTCCTGCGCCCCTGGGGGGGACGGCACCCTCGGCCCCACCTCCTCTCCTGCTTCCACCGGGGGAGGAGAGGGGAGCGGGGGGGAAGGAGGAGGCGGCGGGGAAGGGGGGAACGCGGGGCGGGGGGATACGGGGCGGGTGTGCAGTGGGTGTGTGTCAGTGAACGGGCGGGGCACATGTGACGAGGATGACACGTATGCGGGCTTCCACGGTGCCTTCCGGTGTCTCATGGAGCAGGCGGGCGACGTGGCCTTCCTCAGGCTGGACACCCCGCTGTGGTTCGCCCGCGGCGGGCAGTTTCAGCAGGCGTGGTCGCTGCAAGATCTGGGGGAGTTCCGCGTGCTGTTTCCACCCCTCGTTGGCGGGTGCTTGGAGGTCACAGAGAACGTGGACGCCAAATGCACGTGAGTAGTGAGGCATCTCAAAGCTTGAGTTTGGGCAGCGGCTGGCTGGCTGCACGTGACGTGAGTAAGGTGAGGGGCTTGCATGGCGGTATCAAATCGCATGCAGCAGGCGGACCATCCTGCGCCCACCTCTGGTTTCACCGCCCGCCTCTGATTATGATTCCCATCTCTGCTTCGCCCGCGGGGGACGCTTTCACCAGGCGTGGTCACTGCACGGGGTGGGGGAGTTCCGCATGCTGTGGCTGCCGATGGTGGGCGGCTGTGTGGGGGTCACGGAGAATGTGCACGGCAACTGCACGTGAGTGGGGCGTGCAGTAGCTGCGACTGTGAAGCTCCTCCTGGTTGAGTGGAGGTAGCAGCAGTTGAGTTTGGATGCATGTGCTTGTCCCTGGTGGGGGCAACAGAGTGGCAATTGCGGGTGGTGAGTGCAGAGGAGCCATGGCTCCTGTACCACCACTTTGTGACTCCTGAATAACTCAAAGCTCATATCGTACAGTGCAAGGCTCCTGTACCACCGGTGGCCGGCCATTACCACACCTGCCTTTTCAGACGTCTCAAAAGTTGGTCGTTACCACACTCAGGCGCAACACATGTGCCTGCACCGCACTCTCTCACACCAACGCTGCTCCTGCTTGTACCCCCCCCCCTCCCCCCTTCCCCCCTCTCCCCCCTCTCCCTTCTTTCGTGCTCATATCTTGCCTTCTGCTGCTTGAGTCTACCAGCTTCGGCAGCGTACCAGCCAACGTGGTGATGACGCGCAACAGCATATTGGAGCGCTTCAAGCGCGCCATAGTGGCTCGCCTGGAGCTGGCAGGCACCGTCAAAGCATGGCGCGAGGCACTGTATGAGGGGCGCAACCCCTTCGACTACATCCTCTCGGGCAGGTATCTCAAGGCTCACCTCTCCCTGTCTGTACAAAAAGTACGCCATGACTATAGCCATGTATACTCTCGGGAAGGTAGCCCTCCACTATGTGCTCTTCGAGGGGCGCAACCCCTTTGACTACATCCTCTCGGGCAGCCAGAGGTGTATGTGCCTCGGTGATCTGATGCAACCTGATTCATCTGTACTCCTCTCCTTCCATCCACCCTGTCTATCAGTCGCAGTGCCAAGGGGCTGGTGCGTGCGGACGAGTTGCGCTGCTGTTGCTGCTGCTCGGGGCAGCGCCATGCGTGGCCTGATGTGTGTGCCCCTCCTCGTCCTTACCGTGCCCATCACCCGCAGTGCCAAGGGGCCTATCTGGGCAGCATGGGGTTTTGAGACGTCTCAAAACTTGACCATGCACCTCCTCCACTTTCCACCACCTCTATCACCCGCAGTGCCAAGGGGCTAGTGCGAGTGGAGTCATTGACGTGGGCCTATCTGGGCAGCATGGGCGAGGTGACAGAGGACATTCTGCGCTACAACCGTGACCACGCCCCGCCTCCACACCCCAGGGCCACTCACAGGCTATGCGCCTCTGGTAAGGATGTGTGCTCCGCCCTGCTGTAGCCGCATCTCCTGCAGCTGTAGCCCCACCTGCGGTGACACAACTTACTGTAGCCCCATGGGCTTCATCGTTTTGTTTTTCTCGGCACTGCTAGATTTTGTCTCTCCCTTCTCCATTTGCCGCATAACCTCTCTCCACTCTTGCTGCTTGCAGGTTTGTTGAAAGCACTTTTGGCGACGCTGCTAGCTGCACTGCTGTTTCTCTAGGTGATAGCCAAGGACACGAGTGGCCTGGCCGCTGTACGGCTTGTGTTACCGAATCAAGCCCAATGTAATTGCTAAAAAGAAAAAGGCTGATTCAAGAAGAGCTGAGATGATGTGGAGGGAACCAGCAAGATGTAGTCCTTGCACAACTTTCTTCACATCTCGTGGTATAAAATGCCCATTCTCGGTTTTGTGGGAGGGCAGCAGCTTGGTATATCCCTTCTTCCCTCACTCCAGCCACCACCACGAGTCGTGAGGCTGATGTGACTGCCGTGCCCATTTGCCCATGCCCACGCCCATGCCCATGCCCATGCCCATGCCCACGCCCATGCCCATGCCCATGCCCATGCCCACGCCCATGCCCATGCCCATGCCCATGCCCACGCCCATGCTCATGCCCATGCCCACGCCCACGCCCATGCCCATGCCCATGCCCATGCCCACGCCCATGCTCATGCCCATTTGCCCATGCCCACGCCCATGCTCATGCCCATGCCCACGCCCACGCCCATGCGCATGTCCATGCCCATGCCCATGCCCATACCCATGCCCATGCCCATGCCCATGCCCATGCCCATGCCCATGCCCATGCCCATGCCCATGCCCATGCCCATGCCCATGCCCATGCCCATGCCCATGCCCATGCCCATGCCCATGCCCATGCCCATGCCACTGCCATGCTGCCAGCATGTTGGAAGGTGTCTTGGTTTGCAACATCACATTGACTTTCCTGCTCCCACCCTTTCCCCTGCCTTCGCTTCTTCACTTCGTTCCCCTCTTTCGCCCCTTGCACACACCTACTCCTTACTACGCACACCAAGCCCCTCCCAGGGTGGAATCTGCAAATGCAGCATTTACTGCAATCAATGTTATTGCAAACATGCAACATTCTGGCATTGATTCAGCATTCCATACAATGAATGAGTGCACATGCATGCCCAACTGGCTGGCACACCAGTATGCAGAGCCTCAAGGCCTCAAGAGAGCTTTCTAAAGTGGGCGTCAGCTATCTTAGGTTCTGTGTCCTCTAGGACTGATAGCCTGCAGAGGAGGCAGGGGAAGGAGTGTGTGTACTTCACTGCACACCAACCCCCACCACCGAACTAGAACGAACCGCATGAAGAGTGCTAACTAGAACATTTTGCCTCCACGGGCGCTGACAGCCTCGCAGAGGCGGCAGGGGAAGGAGTCGAAGTTGAGAGCTGTGACATGGGCGAAGGGACCTGGCACCCCGCACATGCGCCATGCAAAGTAGTTCATGTACCTCACTGCACCGCACAGCACACCGCACAAAGGCAGGAAACTGGTAGCTTGGAGCAGCACAGTGCGCACGAGGAGCAGCCAGAAATGCAGTGTACATGCGTGAACAGGATGGGTGGAGTGCGGGCAGGGAGAGATGCAGTGCGAGCAGGAAGAGATGCAGTGCGAGCAGGAAGAGATGCAGTGCGAGCAGGAAGAGATGCAGTGCGAGCAGGAAGAGATGCAGTGCGAGCAGGAAGAGATGCAGTGCGAGCAGGAAGAGATGCAGTGCGAGCAGGAAGAGATGCAGGGCGGGCAGGGAGAGATGCAGAGTGAGCATGGATCACACCACAACTTCCACCCGCATGATGAGTACAAAGATTCACCCGTGGCCACACCTGGGTCGTTATTCAGTGCAGCAATGAGTGCCGTGAGCTGGACGGCGGACGGAGTACATGGGGCCACCAGTGACGGGTTTGGGCGGCACGAAGCGTTTTGAGACGTCTCAAAACACTTCTTATATCATAAAGTACTTGGAGCCACTAGTGATGGATTCGGGCGGCAAGAAGCAGGGCTCTGGGGCTCCCAGAAGCTCCCGAGAGGCTTCAGATCCTCCAGAGAGGTGACCTCGAGGACATGGAAAATCTCGACACGACTCAAACGACGCACCTGGGTCATTGTTGAGTGCAGTGATGAGCGTGGCGAGCTGCACTGCCAAGTATTTGCTGCTGTCGATAAAGGATTCAGGAGGGGAGGCACAAAGCTGTGGATGTCAGGTGCCCCACGGTGCACGGGCACTGTGCCCGCCTCTAAGGCTTCCACAGGGGCTCCACAGGGGAGGTGACTTGTCAGTGCCTGTCAGCCTAGCCAGAAATCTATGCACCTGGGTCATTATTGAGCGCGGTGATGAGGGTAGCAAGCTGGGAAGCCGTGTACTTGCTGCCATCTATGAAGGATTCCGGAGGCATGAACTGGTGGATGTCAGGCGCGCCATAGTACACCGGCACCGTGCCTGCTTCCAGGGGCTCGAGGGCCTTCTCAGTGACGTAGCCCGGCACGCGCGTGTTCTCAGTGCTGAGGATGAACTTGTAGTGCGACATGGCGCATGCTGATATCTCCTGCTTCAGTACGCTTATCACCCTGACATTGGGGAGAAGGAGGAGGGGAAGGGAGGAGGGGAAGGGGATGAGGGGAAGGGGATGCGTGCACGTAGGGGAGGAGAAGGGGGAAGGGGAGGGTGCGTGGAAGTTGACATGGCGCATGCTGTGATTTCCTTCTGAATGCTGCTCATCCTGGGAAGGTGGTGGAGGGTATGGGGGGTGTATGCACATGGGGGCAGAGAGGGGGAGGAGTGGGGGTGAACCTGTAGTGTGACATGGCACACGCTGTGATTTCCTTCTTCTGAATGCTTCTCATCCCGCCATGAGCATGCACGAAGCTTGCACTGCATACAACGTGACGCGCTTATCTGCTTCTGATCCGAATGCAATTCACTCTGGGCGAGGGTGCATGCCTTTTGGGGCACCTCAAAAGTGATCCGAATGCTGATCACTCTGGCCCAGTTGCCCCGGTTTAAGGGCGTATCCCGGCACAAGCAGAGCCGGGCTTGGCAGACAAAAATTACGTTTTGTTTCAAACGAAATTACATTGACATTTATCTGACCGAGGAAGGTGCAACGCATGCTTATGATGTGGCTGCGATAGAGATTTTCAGGCCAGGCATATTCACGAATGGAGAGTTGTTGAGAGGTGAATCCAATGGGGAAGAGGAGGTGGAGGACAAAAAAGATGAAGTAGCCGAAGAGGGCACAAATGAAGAGGAACGTAGCGGCACAACCACCCTTGAATCCTCCTTGGCTTTGCTGTCCATTAGTTCTTCGAGTGGAGAGCAGGAGGCCCGTGGGGAGGTGGAAAGGGAGGTGGTGATAGTGGAAGAGGAGGTGGAGGATAAGGGGGTGTTAGAAGATGTGGTGGTTGAGGAGGGGAATGGGGAAGGTGAAGGTGCTGGAGAGGAGTAAGATGAGGAGGTGCGTTCACCTTTCCCATCCCCCTCTCCAACCACCACACCTTCTACCACCCTCTTATCCTCCACCTCCTCTTCCACCACCACCACCTCCCTTTTTACCTCCCTATAAGCTTCCTGCTCTCCACTCGAACTAATGGATAGCAAAGTAAAGGAGGATTCGGGGGTAGTTGTGCCGCTACGATCCTCTTCATTTGTGCCTTCTTCGGCTACTTCATATTTATTGTCCTCCACATCCTCTTCCCCATTAAATTCATTTTCAGCAACTCTCCATTCGTGAATACACCTGGTCCAAAAATCTCTATCACAGCCATGTCATAAGCATGCGCTGCACCTTCCTCGGTCAGATAAGTGCGAATGCAATTTTGTTCTTTGCGAAACGTATTTTTTGACTGCCAGGCCCTATTTTGCTTGTGCTAGGACACGCCGTGTATGCACAGCACAAGGGGGGGTGGGAAGAGAGAGAATGAAGGGTTGGGTGCAGGCAGTCAATAGTAGGCTTGAGACACTACTGTGCCCAGACGGTGTGCCGTGCATGCCATTGGAAAGCTGTGGGACCAGGCCACGGGGCAAGAGTGGTGCGGAGGAAGCAAGCATGGAGGTACGGAGAGTGTGTTGTGTTGTGACACCTTAAGGGGGTGCCCCCACAAGCCCCACTACCACTGAGGTTATGACTTGCTAACATTCCTCCCTCCCTAATCCCCACCTCCCCTCACTCACGGGTGGGTGCATTCAGGGTAGAGCAGCAGTTCAGCATCACTGCCGTTCATGTTGTTGTCGCAGTGCCCGAAGCTGTGGTGCGGCACCAGCGCAAACACGTCCCTCACCAGGCCCTCCCGCCACTCGTATTGGCAGTGCGAGGATGCTCGGTACAGAGGCACGTCCTGGGAAGAAAGGGAGGAGAAAGGCGGGGAGGGCGCTATGTGTGAGGGAGACACACAGGGCACGGAGAGGAGGAGCATGGCAGAGAGAGACACACGTCCATCACCAGCCCCTCCCGCCACTCGTACTGGCAGTGCGATGATGCTCGGTACAGAGGCACGTGCTGGGGGGAAGAAGGGGAGGGGAAGCGGAAGGGGGCGAAAGGGCGTTGTGTGTGTGAGGTCGACAGACACAAAGGGCAGGCGAAGGGCAGTGAGAGACACACATCCCTCACCAGCCCCTCTCGCCACTCGTCCTGGCAATGCGATGATGCTCGGTATAGAGGCACTTCCTGATGGGGAAAAAGGGGGCGAGAGAAGGGGAGGACGGTATAGCGAGGGCAGTACATAGTGCAGGTAGGAGAGGAGCAGGGAAGAGGGTTGAAACAGGTCCCCTCGGCAGACCCTCATGCCAACCGCCTGGTAGTGCGACAATGCCCGGTACAAAGGCAAAAAGATCCCATGCCCACCTGCCGCTTGACCTTGGGGAGACGAGTTGCCTCCGGTCTTGAGCATGTGGTGCACGCCCGAGTAGGTGAGCTGCACGCCGATGCCTGCCTGACACGCACACACACGCAGGAAGATTGTATGCCCACCTGTCGTTTAATCTTGGAGAAGAACTGCCTTCTACCAGTCTCGAGCGTGTGGTGCACACCGGAGTACGTGAGCTGCACGTCGCTGCTGGCGAAGGGCGACACGCCCACGTCGAACAGCCGGCGCTTCTCCAGCAGCCCCCACGACTCCAGGTTCAGGTACACTCGTAGTGGTTGCCCTCTGGTTCGCTCTGCGGGTGGGTCTGCGGGCCACACGTGAAGCGTGGCGTCTGCCTGTAGCGCCATGAGGGGCGACCAGGAGATCTGGAGAGCAGGGGAGAGGGGTGGGGGAGAGAGGGGAGGGGGAGAGAGGGGGGGTGGGAGGGGATTGGCCGGGGGGGTGGGGGGATGGGGGTGGGTGGGGGATTGAGAGGGATTTTAGGCACGGACGCACTACCACTGGCAAAGCAACAGATACCTGGCACGTGTAAAGAACACTCACCTGGCAGGTGAAAGCAACAGACACCTGGCAGGTGAATGCAACAGACACCTGGCAGGTGAAAGCAACACATATCAGGCAAGTGAAAGCAACAAATGCCTGGCAGGTGATGCCGCAGCGAGGGCAGTGGTAGAAGCCCTCCAGCTTGTGCGGCCACATCCACGACTCAGCGCCAGGTGGCAGCAGAATGGTGACGTGGCGCAGCTGCATTCGCCGGCACGCCACCCTGTTTGGATCCTGTGCGTGCAGTGGGCAGGGGGGTAGTGGTGGGGGGGGGTGGTCAGAGGGGAAGGGGTGGAGGGACAGGGGAGAGGTGGTGGGGAAAAGGAGGGGTTGCAGGATGGGAGCATGTTGTGATGCTGAGGTGGTGTTGTTGCAATATGGAGAGTCTCTCAGGTCAGGAAGCACACTGGGCGGGGGTTGAAGAGCATCAGCGATGTGGTGTGGTGTGGCGTGGTGGTGTGCTTCTTTCTAATTGGAATATTGACGCACACTGCCCCGCCTCTCAACAGTTGCGGAACCTGAAATCCAACAGGGCACGCTGCTGCACCAGCAATGAATGGTTGCACCTGACTTGGACACCAAAAAGTGGGCGAACGTATATGTAAACATGCACAAACAATCTTCAAGTTTTCCGGGCAGAAAGGAATGAAGGTGAAAAAAAATATGGCCAACAAAAAACACTTGCCCCAACCCCAACTTCCCAACCCAGCCTTATACGTTGTCCCGCTACTTACCACTAACCTGGTCAGAGCGCAAGACTTGTCACCCCACCCTGGCCTAATTTGCCACCCAAATACTCCCTCCCCACCCCCACCCCTCTTTCCCTACCTGAAATATCTCCATCTTTTCAGCGGCCTTCATCAACCTGCCCAGCCAGGAACCATTCCTGTCCACGGGGCCGCACCTGAAGACTGGAGCTTCTGGGGAAGGTGGAGGAGTAGGAGTATTTCTTGAGCAGATCCCTGTGCTTCCACCTGAAGCGCGCACAGCCCACCTTCGCCTCCCACATCCTGCCCACAGGGAGTGGGGGGAGGCAGGGGAGAGAGGGGGCAGGGAGGAGGACGGAGGGGGAGGTGGGAGGATGAGTAGGAGTACTTCTTGAGCAGGTCCCTGTGTTTCCACCTGAAGCTCGCACACCCCACCTTGGCCTCCCACACCTTGGCAGTGTTAGAGGAGGGGAAAGGGAGGGGGAAGGAAGCGGGAATGCAGGCAGGGAAGGGAAAATGGATGGCAGAGGGGACAGAGTGAGGAGAGGAGAGGAGAACGCGGAATTGAGAGGAAGAAAACAAACAGGGGCGAGGAGGGAGACGATAGAGAAAAGAGAGGACTAAGAAGAGAAGAACGAGAGGAGAGAGAGGCTGGCATAGGAGTGTGAATGCCGGAAGAAAAGGGACGGATGAGATACAGCCCCACGCAATCATGCCCACAGACACTCACTCACTTATTCACTGCACACCCTCGCTTACTCACCCACTCCCTCACGCAGTGACTCACGCTCACACACTCACTCACACACTCACACACACTCACTCACGCACACACTCACTAACTCACTCACTCACTCACTTGGCAGCAGCCTCGACATTAAAACCAGCATCAGAGAAGACGGGAGCAGAGCCACCATCGCCCAGCACGGGGATGCGGCGGGGGAAGGGCGAGGCGGAGTAGTACTGGGGGTCGTGCAGCGTGGAGAGCAGCGAGGGCAGCGCGCATGCCGCCCACGCCAGCAGCAGCAGTATTGTTAGCCATGTCAGCCGCCCGGGAATGGTGCTCATGGGGGGGATCTGAAGAGGGGGGTGGTTCCGAGATAAGGGGATGGTGGGGCGGTTGGGTGGTTGTGAGGGTGCAGGAGAGGGTGAGAGTGCAGGAGAGGGTGAGAGTGCAGGAGAGGGTGAGAGTGCAGGAGAGGGTGAGAGTGCAGGAGAGGGTGAGAGTGCAGGAGAGGGTGAGAGTGCAGGAGAGGGTGAGAGTGCAGGAGAGGGTGAGAGTGCGGAGGGGGATGCGGAGGAAGATGCGGAGGGCATCCCATAGCCACAGGAGGCGGATGGGATGATGGTACACAACACAGTACACTTCGGGGGATTCGGGGGAGAGGGGATGAGGGAGAGGGGGGATGTGAGCCTGAGGGAGGGGAAATTTGGGGGAGGGGGGTGTGGTAGAGAGGGGAAGAGGATGGCAGTGCGAGGGGGGGCAGGGAGGAGAGGAGACGCCAGTGGTGTTAAGAATCAGGGGGATACAAGATAACAAGAATTTGGGTTCTGGAACGGACGGATTATGATGATCACAAGATACAAGTCTTGCAGTTTGTGAGTGTAAGCGTTGTGAGTTATAGGCGTTGTACTGTACCTTATCGAGCACCTCTTGCGCCTTATCCACAGCAGGCCTCAGCACTGGCCGAGCCGCATTCGCTATAATCACATACACGCTGAACCGCTGCAGGTATCGATGCACACCTCCCGCCGCTGACGTCATTGCCTGCGTCAGCAGCGGCGGCACTGTAGACAGCAGCCTATCAGCAACATCCACCGCAGCGGCCGCGATTCGCGGGCCGTGATCCGCGGCGGCTCGAGGCAATTCCGCAACAGGCGGAGGAGGCCAGAGTGGGGTGGCGGAAAGAGCGGAGAGCGAGCGGAGGGAGGAAAGGCCGAGGGGGATGGATTCGGGGCTCATGGGGGGAAGGAAGGCGGAGGGGGAAGGGACATCGGCGGAGGGGGGCTCGAGTGCGATTTCTGATGGGCGCATCAACGGCGTGGCCGCGTGGTGAGATCGAATGAACGGCTGTAATTCGCCGCCGTCTCTTTCCGCTTCGTTTCCCCCTCCCCTCCCCGTTCCCCCTCTCGTCGCACCCCTTCCGCCGTTGCCGTCCTGATAGCTTCCGCTTCTGCTGCTGTGAGGTGATTCGTCATTGGGATCGCCGCGGTCAACGCTACTAACGGGGATGGTGGCAGGCGACGCGAGGCTCACGCCGCTGTATCCTGATCGCTGCGCCGCAATGCCGTCATTATAGTGGCCGCCGCCGGCTGCGCTGCTGCTGTCACCGCGATGTTCGCTTCGATTAGAGTTACTCGAATGCGATTGGCGCTGCGCCCGCGACTGCGATTGAGCGTGTGACTGTGAGCGAGAAGAGGAGGAGGAGGAGGTGGAGGAGGCGCGATGCGATGACGCTTTGTCGCGAGGCATCTCGACAACCTGCTGTGCGAAGCATAACATTAGCGAAGACCATATTAGCTCATAAAAGCGCTATGTTTATACAATGATTTAAAATTGTTTAAGAGTACACATGTCGATGTAGTATAATGGTCAGTATCTCCGCCTGTCACGCGGAAGATCCGGGTTCGATCCCCGGCATCGGCGCTTTTAGCAGTCAGTAACCCTGGCTGATTTGTTACTATATCGCCCGGGATAGAAGCGCAGGCCTTAAAGCCGGCAGCCCAAATTGCACAAGTTTTAAAAACTTGGCCCTGGGGTTCAGCGGGTGGCGAGGGGTGTGAAAATGAAAGTCGGGAGCCGAAAGAAGTGTTTAGCGAACACCCAGTAAGCGAACTCGCGAAGTGTTTAGCGAACTGCCGAGTCAAACAGCACAAAACCAGCCAATGGAAATTGTCGCACGGCGAGTCACACACCACGACCCAAAAGTGTGAGCGATGGAGGGGATCGCGTGTATGGGACGGAGGGGTCCGAGTGTGGACGACGGGGAGAAGAAGCGATGCGACGAATTAGGTGGATGAAACCTGAGAAACGCGGATAGAAAGGACGCCACGGATATGAACATAGGCGACATCGGTGCGGTGGGCGATGTGGAAGTGAAACCAGAACGACGGGCATATGTGCAACCATGTCGATGACGGGCATATGTGCAACCATGGCCCTGACTAGCTATGTCGAGTGAAAATGTGACCTAGAACCGCGGGGTGCTTTAGAGACGGACTGGAAGAATGGAGGAATGGTCCTAACGTCCTAAGGCGGAAATTTCCGACATGCGCTGGAATGGGGTAGAAGCCTAGATGTTCTAAGCTATGGCTATCGCTCTAGCTGCTCAGACTAGGCAGTTTCGAACGACATGAATTACATATTTCCAGTTTGGTCTGCACATCACAGCCAGATTGGTTGCGCAGGAACCAAGCCACCCTTCCCTGTGCTGCCTGCGACTTCTTTCACGTTTTGCATATGAAAACCTGGTAACCACACTGGTTCGGGAGGGAAAGTGTAACACCTCCCAACTTTTTTTGTAATTCAGGCTGCGGGTTTTAAAAGCGCATGCGCTTCTATCTGGAGCAATGCGCTTATGGCCGATCCTCAATTATAAGCACACCCCCTAAAAAAACTTGATTTATTATAAGCGCATGTTAATTTCCACGGAAAAAATGTGTGAAAATATTGTAATGGTTTTCCCTTCAGCAGGTGGATATGTTGCAAATTCGGTTCTCCTCACATTCGAACCCTGCACAGAATTCGAGTCCAGGCAGCATGAGCTGTCAGGGGCGCCTTGTCAGTCACATCGACTGTATCTGCCAGCCGCGCGAGATTTTCACTCACGACCCCCTGTAACTTTGACTCGATTGAAAAGCCAGCACGAAATCTACGGTTTGGTATTCAGATATTATAAATCTATACTTGTCATTTTATAAGCGCATGCGCTTTTACACACGACTCAATTAAAAACGCACCCCCCCAAAAAACACTGATTTATTCTAAGCGCACCTGCACTTTTATCCGGGGTAATGGGTATCTGGCAGTCAGTAACCCTGGCTGATTTGTTACCCGACAGTTAGTAACCCTGGCTGATTTGTTATTCGACAGTTAGTAACCCTTGTTGATTTGTTGTCCGGCGTACGCTCCACACCGTCGTGATTTGTTGTGCGTTGCAACCTCCTGCCCCACCGTCGTGTTGCCTCAGCTGCACCCTCCTAAGAAATCCCAAGAGCTTCCCTCACATTTTGCTCACTCCCCTCACCCCTGTTTGCCTTTCACCCATTTCTTGCTCTCCTTCCTTCTCTGCCTCTGGCTGCTGCACTGCTGCTAGTGCTGCGTCTGGTGGTGGTGGCGCTACTGCTAGTGCTGTTGCTGGGAGGGACGGAATGCGAAGGGTGTGAGAGAGGGAAGGGGGAGAAGAGAGGGGTGATGATAGAATGTTTGTCAAATAGGACTATGTAGCTTAAATGAAATTGAGAAGAGAAAGGGAAAGTGTCAGGAATACTAGGAGTGGGGCCTAGGCTTAGTAGCCTAGGCCCACACTAGGAGGTAGTAGGTTGTGCCCTAGGACTAGGGTTTGTGGTATACGAAGGAGAATTGGAGAAGTGAGAATGGGAATGATGATTGAACTAGCAAGCAGCAGGATACATATAGGAAACCCTAAGGGGTTGTACTCACTATGGAGCACCCCACTGCAGGCTAGACAAATAACATAATCTGACACACCCCCATAGCCAAAGTGGGGTGTAATCAGCACACGTGAGAAGTCACAGCAATAGTTCACAATTATCAGCAAAGCTAGTGGCAGTCACAGGAGGCCAGTGAGGAGGAGGAGGAACTGTGGAGGGAGAGAAGAGAGGAGGCGACTACTGAAGTTGCAGACACACGGGCACCAGGAGCACCAGGCTGCAACCTCCTCCAACTGTCTCACTCCCCCCTACACACACCCCCAGGGTCACCACTCGCTCCACGCCCACATCACCCCCCTAGCGCCACTCCCTCGTCTCCCACACATCCACCCCCGCAGCGGCAGCTGCAGCAGTGGGAGACGGAGGAGAAGGAAGGGGCGACGCACACGGAGCACCCCCACACCCGCCACCCCCACACCCTCCTGTCCAGGGGACGCAGGGGGGGGGGGGGGGAGGGCCGGGGCGGGAGAGCGCACGAGGGCGCAGGCAACCGCGCGTGCAGAGCAACAGCGCGGAGCAGGTAGGGTAGAGCGCACGAGGGCGCGGGCAACCGCGCGTGCAGAGCAACAGCGCGGAGCAGGTAGGGTAGAGCGCACGAAGGCGCGGGCAACCGCGCGTGCAGAGCAACAGCGCGGAGCAGGGCGCACGATGCACGAGGCACGAGGCTCGAGACACGAAGCACGAGGCACGAAGCACAAGGCACAAGGCACAAGGCACGAGGGCGCAGGTAGGTAGGTAGGTAGGTAGAGCGCACGAGGGCGCGGGCAACCGCGCGTGCAGAGCAACAGCGCGGAGCAGGTAGGGTAGAGCGCACGAGGGCGCGGGCAACCGCGCGTGCAGAGCAACAGCGCGGAGCAGGTAGGGTAGAGCGCACGAAGGCGCGGGCAACCGCGCGTGCAGAGCAACAGCGCGGAGCAGGGCGCACGATGCACGAGGCACGAGGCACGAGGCACGAAGCACAAGGCACAAGGCACAAGGCACGAGGGCGCAGGTAGGTAGGTAGGTAGGTAGAACAAACGAACACAGGCAAAACAAACAAATACACGAGCAAGACGAACGAACACGGAGCGGGCTAGAAGCGACACATACAGCACGAGAGGAACAAGACTGCGGGTGACAGGAAAAGGAGGCGGCTGCACCGGGACCAGGAGCGGCGTCGCATGCAGCTGCAGGGGCGGCTGCTGCAGGGGCGGCTGCTCCAGGGGCGGCGTCGCGGGCCCAGGGGCGGCTGCACCAGGGGCGGCGGCTCCAGTGGCGGCTGCTCCAGAGGCGGGCGGCTCCAGGGGCGGCTGCTGCAGTGGCGGGCGACTCCAGGGGCGGCTGCTCCAGGGGCGGCTGCTGCAGTTGCTGGCGGCTCCAGGGGCTGCTGCTGCAGTTGCTGGCGGCTCCAGGGGCTGCTGCAGCAGTTGCGGGCGGCTCCAGGGGCTGCTGCTGCAGGTGCTGGCGGCTCCAGGGGCTGCTGCTGCAGTTGCGGGCGGCTCCAGGGGCTGCTGCTGCAGTGGCGGGCGGCTCGAGGTGCGCCATGGCCTGGCGCAGCCCGTACGGGCCGCGCGCGGGCCTGGCGCAGCCCGTACGGGCCGCGCGCAGGCTGGACGGGCCGCGCGCGGGCCCTACGGAGGTTGCTCGGGCCACGACGGGCGACGGGGGGCGACGCGCGGCTCCCCATCGCCCGTCGCAGCTCCTCCCGGGGGCGACTCGCGGAGTGACGGGGCAGAAAGCCGCCGCGCGCCTCGGGGCGCACGGCGGGCAGAAAACCGCCGCGCGCCTCGGGGCGCACGGCGGGCAGAAAACCGCCGCGCGCCTCGGGGCGCACGGCGGGCAGAAAACCGCCGCACGCTCCGAGCGCGCGGCGGGATGAAAAATTAGGGTTTGGCCGCCGCGCACCACGGGGCGCGCGGCGGACAGTACGGCAGCGGAAGCAGGTGGTGGGCCCATACAGGAAGGCGGCAGGAACGTGCCTGCTCTGATACCATGTCAGGAATACTAGGAGTGGGGCCTAGGCTTAGTAGCCTAGGCCCACACTAGGAGGTAGTAGGTTGTGCCCTAGGACTAGGGTTTGTGGTATACGAAGGAGAATTGGAGAAGTGAGAATGGGAATGATGATTGAACTAGCAAGCAGCAGGATACATATAGGAAACCCTAAGGGGTTGTACTCACTATGGAGCACCCCACTGCAGGCTAGACAAATAACATAATCCGACAGAAAGAATGCTCAGGATTATACTCGAAATAAAAGAAGAGATTGCAAATCATACACCACCTCTCCCATTCCTTCTCCCTCCCTCCCTCCCTCCTCACTCTCTCTGTCAACCCTGTCCCTCCTCCCTCGCTCTCCCAGTCCCTCTTGTCCCACCGCACGCGCACCCACCACTCCTGACTACGTACCACCCCCTAGTGACTCGCTTTCCAATGCCGAAACCCTCACATTGAGCTGAGCAGATTTAGCCAAAACCTCATGCAACCGTCCATTTGTTTCCTGCAAACTTCGTTTCAGTGACCTCAGTTGTTGACTTTAGCCTCGCAACCCGCATCACTCCCTCTTCAGTTCCTCTATCCATCCACTGTCATTCTGTTGGAAAAAAAAAAAAAACAATTATTTAGGCTGTTATTTATTACTGTAATCCTATTTATACGACTCTAAGCCCTAAAATAAATGTACAGTTATTGTAGGGCCGAAATCTATTGGAGTCTAGAATTACTGGAGGGTAATCATTTTAAGCGGGTGTAATAATTAGTGCACAATTATTGGTGAGGGTCTGGCCATCTTTGGGGGATTAGTTTCTTCGATAAATTCCTTGCTGTGTGTTGTCATAACCAATTTATTGTTCTCAATCCATTCTATTGCAAGCGTTCAATTCCATTATGTTATGCATTCAAGTTTTTTCTACGCTAGCACTATGTCTTTCTAGCATGGTCTCAGAGCAACTTCAAGGGGCATGCTGCCAAGATTTGGTCAGGAACTTATAATAATTTACACTCACAAGCAGATTAGTATTTAGGCATATCAAGAAGCAACTTTCTGGATCATGATGCGGTTTGTCGGTAAGGTTGATGCTAGAGATGAGGCTTTCGAGAAAGCCATCTTGGATCAACATGAGCACCTGACGTACATGATCGCAATGGCACCGCCAGCACTACAAGCATTGTAGAAAACCATGTTTAACATGACAATCCAGTCAAATGCATCACACTCCTTCAAGCACTCCGCGTACTAACAAAACCCACGCTTCAAATATGCATGCAAGAACTGAATGTGAAGGGGATGGAAACCTACCCCAAAAAGGAGAGTCATCCCCAGGGAGGGATGCATCCTTCCAGCTGCTCCATCGCATCTTGCATATCGTCATGCGCCATTGATATTAGGTATTTAAGAGCGACAAAGGATTCCCAC